ATGATAGACAATCAATAGGTAATGGTTGGATGTCAATTGGTATAATACAAATGTACTGATTTAAATGAGAGTATAGATACCAAAGATATCGCTGTAAGCATCGATGGTGCGAGGGGGTGTAATCTTTGGTATGTATACTCTCATTTAAATCAGTGCATTTGTGTTACATCGATTGACATCCACTTAACCATCGCATATCGGTCATCGATCATCGCTCATTGAGCACTTTTACATTGAGAAAAAGACTTGAGTTAAAAAATCAAGTTTGGTATATATGTAAATGACGGCCTCTTTCAAAAAATTAAAAGCTGACAAAGTTGACACAATTCAGACCTACGCCCGATGACGCAAACAAAATTTGACACATCGATTCAGTACTTTTCGAGAGATCAACAAATTTTTTTATTAAAATGAGCCCCTTTAATGCCCCATTTAAGGCTCCAAAAGTTCGATATCGTCAAAACAAAAAATAAAGAATACCTTTATTTTTGTTTTTGTTTTATCTACAGTATTTTTGGCAGCGATTAAAATCACTCAAGGGTGTAGTAGTTTGTGCAACAAGAGTGGATATGGTCAATCCACTCGAGTTGTATTATTTTTAAATGACTGGTATCAAGAAGATCCCTAAGGTATTTGAATTTCGGTAAGTGGCCTCTTATTTTTTGAGCCAACTGTTTGCATTGCAGGTCCCACTTCATATGATCGATCTATTACGATGCTTAGATATTTAGCTTTATCATCTTCAAAACTTTGAGTATTTAGTCCAACGCTTAGAGGACCTAGATTAGGTAAATCACTAGTATAGGAAGATAATGGTAAGTAGTTTGTTTTTGCCTAATTTAATGTTAATTTGTTATATTGTAGCCACTTTGAAATCTTGGAAAATTCAACAGTATCATCTGCAAAACTGATAAATTCACCATTGTTGTCTATTGAAAGCAAGCTATTAATGTACATAAGGAATAACACTGGGCCAAGCACAGTTCCCTGGGAAACACCAAATGTTATTTTTTTCTGATTTGCTATATATTCCTCGGATATTTACAACTTGTTATCTTTTGGAAAGGTAACTTTTTATTAGATTATAGCTGTTTCCTCTAATCCCATATTTTTCTAATTTATCTAAAATTATTTTATGACTAACAGTGTCAAAGGCTTTAGAGAGATCTAGGAAGATACCTATAGTTGGTACATTTTTATCTAATGATTGGTAGTCGATTGATGTTAATCTGTAAATAGCATTTTCAGTAGATCTAGCCTCTCTAAAGCCGTATTGATGATCAGACAATATATTAAATTTTTTAAGAAAAAGTCTTGTTTTAAATACTTTTTCTATGATTTTAAAAAAGTTTGAAATTAAAGACACGAGTCTATAGTTGTCAAGTTTTTTTCTATCTCCACTTTTGTATAAAGGTTTGATTACGCCTTTCTTAAAAGATTTTGGAAAATACCCTGCATTGAAACATTTATTGATCAAAAAAGTTATTGGTTTGGCAAGTTTTGTGTTATTTCGTTAAGCGTTTCTGACCGTATGTTGTCGAAACCAGGTGATTTTTTTGTTTTCAAGCTCTTTATTATTGATATAACTTCTGCCTCATAAACTATTTTCTCGTCAAAGTTTTTCACGTCTGCGATTTTATCGGCTAATTTTGTTCGTATTTCGCTAAAATATTCATTAAAATGATTAGCAATATCCTGTTTTTTTGTTACTTCCTGTCCATCTGACAACTCAATTTTTGTTTCAGTTCTTTCTTTACGACATATATTATTTACACATTCCTACATTGATCTTGAAGAATTTTTATTAGTCTCAATTTCTTTGTGGTAATAATCCTTCTTGGCTTTTTTCATATTAGTTACATATATTTTTTGTGCATTATATTGAATTTTTAATTCATTATTTGTAGGATATTGTAGATACTTTTTATATAGATTCTGTTTTCGGAAATTAATTTATATAACCCAAGCGTCATTCATTTTTGTGCGAATTTTTTATAATTATTTTTAATTAACTCTATGCGTATTTTCTATTATATATTTTTTAAATGTTTGAATAAATATTTCTGCTGTTATGTTTTTTTTATACAAATTTTTCGATTTTTAAATTATGTTTTAATGAGGAATAGTTAATATAAGATTTATATAATTGGGGAGTATTGTTTATGGTTTTATTTTTTAATTCAAAAGTGAGTACTATTGGACAATGATCTGTTATGTTGTCTGTGTGCGTAGATGAGCTAATATCCATGTGGGTGTAGAAAAAATATTAATTGTGTTACCACACCCTATTGGTTTATGATAAATTAAAAAACTATAACAAGGAGTGGGTCATTTATAATAAATAACAATAACCTTTAAACATGTAGCAAACATAGGTTGAATTTTAAAATTTTATTATTTTAGATTATTACATAAATTAATACTGTGGGGTAATGGCAAATATGTCATCAACGAAAATATCTGAGTCATTATGTAAAAGCACACCTATCACTACTTTTGATTTTAACTCTCCAAAAACACCTACATAACCCACAAGAAGATAATTTGGAGGGGGTAACATTTTTTAAGAAATAATGTTTTTTCAACTTCTAATTTATTCCTAGTATGAGAAAAAAGCCTGAGACAGACACTAAGATATTCCTTTTTCCAAATTGGTGACGGAACACCAAAAACGAGAATAAAAGCGAATTTGTAGAACTTCCAAATTGTTTTTTTTTTAAGAACTGATTATGAATAGTATAAAAACATCGGTCATTCCTGTCTCGAGTTAAAGTTATCCTCGACGCTTCGTGCCTTGGCAAACTTCCTTAAATCTGACAGTAATGAAACACTTCCCACCTCGGAATTTAATATACTATTAAATTTTAATGAGTTGACTCTGTAATACCAAACAAAATTGGGTTGTAAATGACCATGTTTTAGAACTTCCATTAATTCCATACAATGCTCTCTAAAAATCAGCTAATGAGATTTTTTATTTTTTTCCTGAATTTGCGAGCTTTTTAGTACCTGCTTCATAATAATTGATTGTTAATATTGTCAAATGGTGAACTACAACGGAGTTTTCAAACAACCTGAATAAATTATAACAGAAAATTTAATTTAAAAATAAATTTACATGCCTTGATAAACACGATTTCAATAATCATTGAAACAATGTGCATGCATGTTCTATATCCGCGAGCACCGATTTTCACATACTGTCAAGCTACGAAGGCAGATCCGATGGATGCGTGTTTGTATACTATATAGCAGTGGTTTTCAACATTTTCGAGTCTCGACCGTCTTTTATAAGAGCCAGGTAACCTGCGAACTCCGCCAATTTGTATAAAATTTTATTTTCAATTGGATAAACAAAATACATTTTTCCGAATATACCATCGTAATATTTAATTAACTAATTAAAGGATTAATCTGTCTTGGTTATATATCTATGGTACAACCCCTACAGACGTTTTTTTACTGAAGTCCTCAAAAATCAAAGAAAGTATTTATCTTCTTCGTGATATATTCACCTTTTGTAGTGGTTACAAGTGCACTAAAAAACGTAACTCTTTTTTGATGTCATCTGAATGAATATATTTCCCAATTCAGAACTTATATCCGTTGATCACGCAAATGGCTGAATTTAATAAATAAATGTACCTCCGACAAACCTGCATGTAAAATTTCAATAAAAATAATTACAAACAAATAACGTGGCGACCCCTAAAAAACGCTTTGGTGAAAAACACCCAATTGGGGCTCACGACCCAAAGGTTGGGAACCACTGCTGTATAGGATGTAATTTCAACAATTTCTGTGCTATTTCTAATTATAGACTTGGATCATTTCCAACTAGAATTTTGCAATACGATTAGATATAATATATGCAAATGATTATTCTATTAAAATCTAGTAAAAAAGTGTAAAGGAGAAATTGATCTCGAAAAACATTTTATTGGAAAAAGTATAAAAAGTCTAAAATTTTTAACCCTTCGTACACCTTATTGTTTAAATTACGCAAGCTTGCAGAATTTCACTCTCCTTGTTTTTCTTTTTTAGATAGCCAATTACAGTGAGATGTAATAGGTGTCCAAATAAGAAAGGACGTCGGCCATTCTAAGGAACCGCTTGTCCTACAGGTCTGATTTTTTTTTTATTAACATAAGTGATCCCTAAAAATCAAAGGAAATTATGTTTAGGTTCCTAACTTCGCCGAAGTATTCCAACAGCTCAACGTTATTTTACAAGTTCTATATATATAAAATACAAAACAATTCATAAACAAAAACAACTACAAATTAGTTTGCAAAATTTCAAAACCTTCACAAAACAATTTAACAAAATGAGCTTAAAATTAAAAATAGGCAAAGTTAAATCCTAAGAATGAGTTTTGTGTGACGTGCCAAGATGTTTCTATACCACTTGTAGTAAAAATACCTAGATTTATTCCGTTCAGCGTTATTGCAAATATGGCTTTAGAACGACCGTTAAAATGTTTCCCGTGTTTTTTGCTTATAATTAAGCTATTTTAAAATATTCGAAAATTCTGGGCGGATCGTCATTACGATCCGGCCGAATGCGATCCGGTCGATGGGCTGGATCGGCTGGATTTAGTGGCACCGCCGGAATTCTGGTACATCCCTAAAAAATATCGATATAATAGGGTCCGATTACAATAAGAACACAGCTATATACGTCATCAATAGAGAGTAATTCGTTGGCATGTAAGAACCATATTTTTATACCAAATAATTAACATATTTTTTATTTATTGATAGTTATAGATTATATATATATATATATATATATATATATATATATATATATATATATATATATATATTTGAAATTCAAAATAATAGTTATGACGTAGCGATATTCTTCTTATTGTATAATTGGATTCTACCACAGTCACTTAATGATAATAACAAAATTCAGTCAACTCAAAGGGCCAAAACAACATCACGTGACACAGGATTAATATTCCCAATATTAAAAATTACAAAAAAACTTACCACTTTTTTCAGTGTCAGAGTCGAAGTCTTGGAGAGGAGATGACTCGCGTACGCAGGACATCAAACTAAGGGGACCAGCCCCTGAGTGAGTCCCTACAGCAGCAGACGACATCTGAAAAATACCCAAGCATTTTAAACGTGGAAGACATTGAGTATTTTTTATTACAAAACTTGCATAAAAAGAACCGGTTTCTCATCATTTCTAAACTTCCTTATGCAGGATCAGTTTTAATTACACAACATATAAAAGTGCAGATATTAAATAATAGCACCCAACCTCAAAATTCATCATCAAGGAAAAAGGGAAAGCTGATTTTTGCATGACTGGTTAGGGACCACCCCCTAGTGTACAATCAAAAGATCACACTTTAAATATTTGAGAAACCACCCCTAGAGCGACTTATTTTCATAATGGTAAATGTTTATTTTATTGAAAAACTATTAAGAATAAAAGTTATAGAAAATTCCAAGGGTTGGTCCCCCATTGATAAAATATAATATTCACGATGCCAAGATTAAGTCGACAATCATAACACTGTATTTGTAGGTGAGCGGTGAGAAGACGAAAGGTGAGAAATAAGAGAGGAGATAAAGAGAAGGAATTTACGCAGATACGACTTTATTTTATCAATGAATAAATGTGTAAGACGCTGTGCGCTTATAATAAACAACATAAATATCCATGCCGTTGTAAGCCCTGTTGCTACTTCCAACCCAACAAGACTAGGTTTTGGAATTTATTGAAAGTTATTACATCTAATTTAGTGAAATTGCAACTAATTTAGTAAAATTTGATATAATTAATGATTTAAAATTTTTTGGGTTCAGTTGCAATAAAATAGGTTGAATTATTTTAGCTTTTTTAATATATGTAAATAATTTTGTAAACAAAACGAGAATAATGAAATAGGCATATGACAACAGCGGATATTATACCCGCTTGTGTCCCTTAGAATATGTCTTATTCAGGACCGCACGATATTTGTTAGTAGTTACATCTCCTGTTATTTCTGGTTGATCCCTTTGCGCCGCCCCTGTCTTATTTATAAATCGAATTAATTATTTAGTTTCACGTCGCATTGTAACCTGTTATGTGTAGACTCACGCTAGAAAATTAGTCTGAAACTGCTGAAGCGTGCCTAGACTTTACGCCAGAATTCGAGTCACATCTCAGTATCAAAATGGATGGTGTCGAGCAACGAGCGGTGATTAAATACTTGCGTTTAAAAGAGATAGCCCCAAAGCAAATTCATAAAAATGTGGAGGATACCTTAGGGAAATCTGCAGTATCACATGACATAGAGAACATGTCGTGCTGCAAGATCGACGTATGACTATTAGACTAATAGTTAAATATGCTGGTCTCTCATAACATGTAGTATATGATATACTAAATTGAACTTGAACAGGCACAAGCAAACTCGAAAAAACATTTACAGTTGTCCTTTAACGCGGTATAGACAAGACAAAGAAAATGTTCTTGCAAGATTAGTGACAATAGAAGAGTCCTGGATCCATTACTATGATGTAGAAACCAAAATACAGAGTAAGGAGTGGACAAATCGAGGTTTACCACCGTCGAAAAAATTCAAGATGCTTCAGCCGGGAAGATTATGCTAACCTTATTTTGGTAATCTGCAGTCATTTTAGTAGATTTCCTGTATAAGGGAGCCAGATTTACAGATGCTTATTATGCCAATTTAATTCCAAAATTACATGACGCGATAAAAGAAAAATGTTGGGGGAAGTTGCGCAAAGGTGTTCTCTTGCATCAAGATAATGCACCCAGTAACCATTGCACCTTTGCAACAGCTGCAGTCGCTCAAGCAGGCTTCGAATTAGTTGAGACTCCACCATATTCCCCAATTTGCACCCCAGGGATTGCTTAATGTTTTCAAAACTTGTTCAAAAATAAAAGTGAGATATTTGCCAATTTTTTATTATAAGTGGGTCAGAGGTAGAGCAAACGGATCAATCAGCTCTCGAAAATTACCCACAAACATTCATTTTCGGATTAATTCTAATTTTTCAGCGTTCTTTTCAATCAATAGATGGGTGATTACTGTTCAGTGTTTTTGCATATCTACGGGTTACTCAGACCAGAGACTCAAACGCGTGACCTTCGACCAATCAAAGAGTGCGTGATCATTTATATTTTCCCACGATCTGTGATGAGCTGAAGCTCCTACCCCCTGACGCAATATTAACATCTTTAATGGAAGCTGTAGACGTGTAAAATGAACTTGTAAACAATAATGTTAGTTCATTAAAAAGAATAAATACGAAAGTAGCGCCCATCTACACTTAGAAAGCAAAATCAAAGTTCCTTCCAGTTCACAGAACAAGGTGGAATAAAAGCCAAACTGGCAATTAACAAAACAATGCCATTTATGTATTTTTAGTATAATATAGTTCAAAATAAACTTATAAAAGTATGTGATAATAATGTACTAAAATGTATATGTTAATGCAAAAATTACTACATCTAAAGAATGTACCTATTAAGTATGCATGTCAAATGATGTATAAAAACCGAATGTCAAACGCATGTACAAATAATATGTTTCGAAAGCATATATTTTATTACATTTTCATGGAATGTACTATGTATATCCTTAATAGAATGTCCGTAAAATGCATACAAAAGATATATTTAAGCTCTTCAATGTTTTATTGGTTACCTATTTTATCACGGAATTGATTGATACCTACTTTTATAAAAATAGATCTCTATGTGTGACATGGGTTTCTTTAAACACTCACACATTTGAATATACTAAACATTACATCATCTATCATCATAGTACTTGTCACGGTAATCGCATTTGGATTTGTTTAATTAAAAGTTCCAAATATAATGAATTTAAAGAAATTACAATTTTAATTTTTTGAATCTCCTTGTAGAAATCAAAGGTTTCTCGGTAACATTTTAATGAGTACAAAACTGCGCAACTTTTGTCTAATTTAACCTTTCTCTTACCGTTTAAGAAATGGCAATACTGTCCTTATGAAATAGTTGGGACCCTGTATATAAAAATCAAATTCAGACATACAGGGTGTTGTTTTAAGAATGCACGAATTTATTCATTTATTAAATAAATTTGAGAATACGTACGTTAAATGTCAAAAACATATACATGATGGTTGGTAAGTTACGAGTCTAGAAAGAACTAGGTGTAATATTATAAAACACCCTGTATTTGGTTTAAAAAGAGAGAAAGATCCATTAAGTATGGGTTGTTTGGAAGTAGGTACTTCGGGGCCTTCCATCCACAGTTAACGTGTGTTTCTTTCCCAATGAAGCATCCCGCAGCAAAATAAGTAATATAAAAAAATTCCACAAATAAATCTTTGCATTCATTCGCTGAAACAAGTCATAAGTTCACTGTATCTTCTAAAATCTGAAAATGACTAAGAAGAAAATTCCAAAGCCAATTCACCACCCATGATTAGTCAACGAACTGAATCACAATACAAAATTAACGATTTCTATACTGGCAATTTGCCAAATGCCTTTTCATCTCACTAAGAAAACTTCTCACGGGTCATTTCGAGAATTTACTCCCCCAATCCAGACTGGATGGCGAAAAGGCAAATTCAAGTTCAAGGACACGGCGAGACACGCTCCTGGCCCAGGCGGAGACAGAGAGAGCGCGAGGATTATTTTGTTTTCGACTATTTCGGAGTCTGAGTCTCAGGAGGAATTTTCCATAATGGACTTTTATTTACAGTTTTCGCTTCGGTTTAGGAAATAATTTAGAATGTTTGTTGACAATATCCATATAAATAATGTGTTATCTAAAATTATATCTTGTCATTCTTACAATATTAAAAGTTAATGTCAATGCGCTTTTAAAGTTTGGGAAAGGATCCAAAAATTTGTTTTATGAGCAGAAAAACGATATTTTTATTTTCTTTACCGATTTAATTTGTTATAGTATCTAATATTAACTGTTTATACTAAAAAATGAATTGCAGATAGGTGCAGAGATTGGCGATATGTTTTTTAACTTTTATAAATTAATAATTGTTTATTTAATATACTTTTTCAATTAGAAAATATAATTTTACATTGATCATAACATAACATACTGTTACGAAGGTTTTTGGTATCACAATTTATTTCAACTTAACTTTAATAACAATTGTACTACTAATAACATTAACATGTAACGTCTATCATAAAACTCCAAACTGACGTCAGGGATCATCCTTATATAGCTTGCTTGACCCTTCTCGAACTGACGTCTAGAATATTCTTGACGGGTAATGACATTTCCATACATTTCTGGACTATTATATCTTCTTTTACTTATGATGACCGCAGCCACATACTTTGATTACTATACGAGGCAAGAGAGAGGTCCGACACGCCCAACATAGGGCGCGGCCATTTTGAAACCTGTGACACAGTTTACAGCTAAAGAATCAGATCGCTCACTCTGCGTCGGCACTTTGGATCTCAATGTTTCAGTTTATACACTGTGCAACTCGGATAATACAATATATGACAACCGCCTATAATAAAACAGCAGTCGTCTGCGTATCCTGAATTTGTATCCCTGGATTGGATGTTATTTTGGAACTTGCAACTGGTCCGAGTGAGCTAACTGATTCTTTAGTAATAAACTGTGACTTCAAAAATAATATTCACTGACACTGACAGCAGCAAGCAAAATATCAGGTGCGTTTTAGTCATCCGCTTCTGCTTCCGGAATTGTCGGTTTAGTCATTTTAACCTGTCAGATTAAAACAAGAAAACCGACAATTCCGAAGCAGAAGCGGATGATTAAAATGCACCTATTAAAAATATTGTGCCAAGATGTAGGCAACACGTAATAAGGGTTCAAAATGGCGGAGTTTTCTATCTCCTTTTAAAAGGCACTCAGAAAGCTGCGCAGTGCGACCATTCTCCGTATAGTAAAAGAAAATCAAAGTATGTGACCGCAGCACACTGTAGGGCGATGAGTAACATTCCACTTCTTTTTCAATCTGTACGTTTCCTATAATAGCCGCAGGCTACTGCAGGGTGCTGCGTAACATTGCTCTCTCTTCTCTAGTTATTCGCCCCGAATTTCTTGTCTCCAAAGCTTGGACGAGAGATGAATAACT